AGCCTGGTGGACAAGTAGGGCTCAAGTAATGGAGGAGGCAGGAGCAGTAGGCAATTAACGGAAACTCTTCCAGCTAATCCGCACCACTGGCCCCAGGAAACCAGGCGTCAGTGAGACAATCAGAGACAGCGCGGGTGCACTGATACACAATAAGGAGAGCCGTATGGCTCGTTGGGCGGAATACTTTCAAATGCAGTTCAGCTGGCCTTCTGATTCCTGACCACTTCCTACTCAGGTGATGCAAGACGAGTCGTGGACGGTTAGTTTCGATCCTCAGTCGGAGGCCAAGGTCCGAAACGCGATCATAGCCCTCAATCGGTTTCGTGCCACTGCCCCGAATTCCCTCCCACATGCACTATCTACGCATGGAGGTGAGGTCCTCTGCAAAGCACTGACCTCCCTATTCGAACATACCTAGAAGGAAGAGAGCAGCCCGGCTAACTGAAGTGAATCAATTATAGTAACAATATACAAGAAGGGCAGTCGAACAGACTGTTTCAAACACAAGGGTATTAGGCTAACGCCAGTTGTGACAAAATTACTGGCATCGATTCTCGTTCATCGCCACACGGTGGAACGGGAATCACGGATTAGAGAAGAATAGCGGTTTCTGCCCAGGACTTGGCTGTATGGCTCATATATTCACTTTGCGGCAGGTGCTAGATCAGCGCCATGCATACCTCAGACCGACAATAGCTGTCTTCCTCGATTTCAAGAGTGCGTTCGATTCGGTCGATCGATCGATTCTGTTCGAAATACTTACGACGAAAGGTGTTCCCACGAAATATGTGAACATCCTTCGTGCTCTATACTCGAACACTACAGGCCGCGTCAGGGTCTACGGTGGCTCATCTGACAGCTTTCCGACCACAAATGACGTTCGTCAGGGTTGTCCGATTTTGTTCCATTTAGTCGTGGATTCTATCATGGAGTGTTCCTTTGCGGAATCTCACGATGTAGGCGTTGAAGTGCTGCCTGGTGGAAGATTAGTTGATCTTGATTATGCGGACGATATCGTCTTGCTTTTCGATGCTGCTGCGGCGGCACAATCAACCCTGTATAGCCTGTCTAGAGTAGTCCCATCATTTGGCATGCGGTTTGCACCTTCAAAGTGCAAAGTGTTGCTGCAGGACCACTAGCCACTTTCTGACCACTTGACCCTTGCAAACGAGGAGCTCGATGTGGTTGATCAATTCGCTTATCTTGGCAGATGCATCACAAACGATGGACGCATAGAAACTGACGTTAGCTCACGCAGCCCAAAGGCCAGTGCTGCCTTCTTGAACCTGCGGCATCTTTGGCGACAGAAGGGAATTCCCCACTGTCTGAAAGGTAGTGTATGCAAGGTCACAGTGAGAGTCGTTCTGCGCTATGGGAGTGAGACTTGGCCCCTTCGGTCTGAAGATCTGAGGCGCCTTCAAGCCTTTGATCATCGTTGTCTGTGAAGCATTGCTGGTGTCGGATGGCACCAGCGTGTCCGCAACGATGATGTGTGTAGGCGAGTACTAGGTAGAGATAATGGTGCTAGCTCCCTAGAACAACAAATAGCACTGAAATAGCTGCGTTGGCTTGGACATGTACCACGTTTGACTGGTCACGGTTTACCTAGGAGGGCTTTGTTTAGTCTGACAGATGTAGGATGGCGCAAAGCTCGAGGTTGACAAAAGTTGACTTGGAAGCGGGAAATGGAGTCACTGACGACCATACTGACTGCCGTTTGTCTGTCGCGCTTTCCGGGATGGAGTCTAGGTAACTCGCCTTATGCTTGATTTGAGACTTTACAGGGCATGGCTTGCCACCGACCCCAGTGGCGCGTCTGCTGCCGTCTCCTAATCGGATTGCCCATGTAAAGTGTCTTTGGTGCCGTGTTATCTGTGGGATAACGACTGATTATGACGCGTGGCAGTGAAAGCCGCAAGGAAGCTGTCTCGCCGATGCCGCCTTATCTTTGCACGATAGCCAGCTGTTTGTGACAGTATGTTGTTAACAAAAGTGTAGGTGCCTTGTTGCTGAATGTTTGCTTAGGGCATTAAGATCTTCAGGTAAGTCCCCCTTCCCTCCCTCTTGTTACTCTTTATTTCCCAAGTCATCATGGTTGTATGGCAGCGAAGCATCCGTTCAAATGTCTGATGTACTGCTGTCGATGAGGATGATGATGAAGCAACTAATAACACAACAATATTGGAGACGCTAAGTAATATTAATTAACCCAACTCAAACGTTTCAAGTTCATAGACCAATTAGCTGCTGATCCTACATGGATTCGTGTTTTTATCCCTACTCGAGTTCGATCTCCAACTGTAGGTCGATCCACTCTTGAGCCACTGCTCGGCTTGAACGCTGGGTGTAATCTATCTCCCTGCACCAAGGAGCACGCCTGACTCACAACGCTGCAATACAATTCCCATTCACTTCATGACCGACGGTTTCGTCCTTGTTGGGACTCATCAGGTAGAGATAACCGAACTGGGAGTGGAACTCAGCGTATAGTGCTCGGCCGTATCGCCATGATCATTAGGCCAATGAGCTTCGCGAACAGTGATTGACACAGCGGTTAGGAGTTGATTTTCGGGTTTTGGAGCACCCGTCGTGTGTCATGGATTGCGACACGCAACGTCAATTGTGACCTCGGCTTATTGTGAAATCAGCTTCTGACTATACGATAATTAGGACCGTCACCGAAGTGGAGGGTTTCGGTATGGCTATCTCCAATAGCTGAACTCCACGGCCGACGGTTTCGTCCTGGTTTGGACTCATTAGGTAGAGATAGCCGATCTGGGAGTGGAACTCGACGCACTGTACTTGCGGAACCGCTATGATCATTAGGCCAATGAGCGGACGAATATGAGCATAAATGGTCTGTAACGCCACTTTTTCTGAGTTCGAAAATCGTGTTCTATCCGAGTGATCTAGCCAGCCTGGGACACTGTCTAACCCTGAACAGCGTACCAGGAAAACCACTACCTACTCTTAATCTCTCCATCACCATTCCCTAAGCGGATTGCTGTTCCGCGGGAGACTATCCCCTAAGCTTATCACTCCAAATGAGGAACACTAGAACCATCCAATGTCCTCTTTCCTCATTAGCATTGTAATGGAAACGAGCATAACGGGTAATACTCTGCCTTACTCTTCTAGAATGAAAGTTATGACAGCAGAATAAGCGCCAAGGTTTGAGTATGCGGACGGCATAGCTCGCCTTGGGTCGGACTTAGGCTATGTTCAAGCTACACGTAGTAAAAGGACGTATAATGCTGCGTGTTTCGGCATGTGCTTAGCACATTCGGAAAACCAAAAAGCTCCACTTCGGTGACGGTCCCAGTGCCCGTATAGGCAGTGGCTGACTTCAAATTTAATGGAAACCACAGGTGAGATAGCGTGCCGCAATTCATGACGCACGACGGGCGCTCCAAAACCCGAAAATCAACTCCTAACTGCTGTGTCAAGCACTGCTTGCGGAGCTCATTGGCCTAGTGCTCATGATGATACCGCCAAGCACTACATGACGAGTTCCACTCTCAGCTCGGATATCTCTACCTGATGAGTCCAAACCAAGACGAAACCGTCGGTCGTGGAGTGCAGCTATTGGAGAGAGCCACAACGGAGAGCAACAAAGAACGTGATGGGCCTGCGGTATCACTCTTACCACCGAAGGCTGAAGTTGCTGGGAATTTTCAGCGGACGTTATCGAAGGCTGCGCGGCGATCTCATATTAGCGTATCAGATATTGAGTGACCCCAACCACGTATGCCGCCATTTGCTGAAACTTAGCCACAACACGCAGCTCAGGGGTAACTGCTTAAAGTTGAAGGAACAATATAGCCGTCTAGAGTGTCGACGGAATTACTTTTCCCTTCGAGTTTGCAAACCATGGAACGCACTCTCAGACTCAGTAGTATCCCCTCCTACCCTGGATGTTTTCAAAAAACGATTAGATGTTGCTCTCAGCTCCCAACATTTTGTTACCTAAGCTCCTCTGTTGTGGATTACGCCAAGCATGTTTTCAACAGGATTTATGTATCAAATGGACCTAAGTGAGCGACCATATTTTATTTTCTCACTCCTTACCTCAACTAGCAATGCGCCCCAGTGTCTTTCTGAATGTTTACGCGCGATATTTCTTTTTCATTTCACACTGATGTTAATTATCAAAGTATTCATCTCGGCAGACGTTCGATAGATGACCCACACATATTTTAATTGCATCATATTCACCGCTACCATCCTACGGGACGTGTCAAGCACTTGCTTTTATCTCGTGATAAATCATTGTTCATTGTTCCCACCGAAACTCTCCACTTCGGTGACGGTCCTAATTATCGTACAGACAGAAGCTGACTTCAAACTTAACCGAGGTCACAATTGAGATTGCGTATTGCAATTCAAGACACACGGCGGGTGCCCCGAAAGCCGAAAACCAATTTCCCTTTGTTCACTCGGCCCGTGTAAACGTCGTCACTTTGAGCTCGTGGTGCAGATAGGCCTTTCTTTCCAGTGGCCACGCGTCGCCTGAATTACCAACTATTATCACAGTTTGTAGTGACGGTGTGAAATCACAGGGTATTCGAAATGACACAGAATCGAAAGGAGAAGGAACCGTTACAAAACACAGTTAACCACAGGGTATCGTTTGATAAACCACGGGGCTGTTTGCGACCAACAATGGTGCACAAGTCAGCTACAGATGGGATAAGGTCGCATACTGTTCTTACATTCGAACGCGCCACTGTGTTTCTATTTCCACTTGGAACACCCAAACTTGTGGTCCAATTCAGACACAGATACATTGAGCGGCTGAATAAACAGGGGGCTGCCTAAAAGATCTCTAAGTCAGTTGCCAGAAAAGACAACGGTAAAGATGACGTACACGAAGCGTTTTTTAAAGTGCAGTAAATTGGGTACGGGATTGGGATATCTCAGGCGTGATGTAGGTGATTGAAATGACTGCGAAATGCAACCAAAAAGCTAATAATACGATCAGGAACCCGAAGGGAGCATACCTCGTGGGTCAGTTGGCATAGATCTATGTCGCTGCACACTACTGAGAGTGTAATTACTAAGAGACGGTACAAATTCGTTGGATGTGATAGGCTGCTCTAGGCAGACATCGTGTTCGTCCGTCAAGGTCGCGTGATCCCGTAGGCGTATGTCTCTCGATGAATTAACAAGGCTGGAACAGGAACAAAGATGTCTGAAGCAGTCGGGTCGGTCATCGGTGAAAGCAGCGGGGCTAGTTTGAGTACCGGAATCGAGCAAAGACTGAGTGGGTGGCTTAGATTTCATGAGTTGTCCGCCAGGATGAGAATAAGATGGGGTGACGTTGTCCTTCTGTGGTTCAATCGTTTGCGTCTGATGGGGATCATGAAGCGCAGGTAGGTTGGTTAGGTTGAGGGGATCTTCATGCATATGAACCATCTGTTTGTCCGGAGTTTTACTGCCCTCGGAATATGGAGTCGCCGACTCGGCCAAGTTTACTTCCACAAGTTGAAAACTAGCGTTTGATCTGCCGTCTTCTTCAGTTATGCTGAAAATGTGGACGGACTCATTTGAATCGTGTGGTACCGCAGAAGAGCCGAGTGAGGGTTTATCAATGATTTCAGTACGTTCCATTACGTCACCTGAGGCGTTGGCTGTCAGTGGCAGCGGTTGTGTTGGGTGATCCGCTGAGGTAGAGCTGAGACAACAAACCGATACAAAACAGTAGGGTGGGCAGTTGAGTTGTACAGAGCGGTGTTTGTGGAAGTTAAAAAAGCCAACCACTCAAAGGATAAGGCTGGGCAACCACATGCCTAATGCTTATATTCATGATAAAAAAACTACAAGAAAGGCCATACGATCAGGCGTATTGGAGCTCGGCTGCAGTTAGGATCCACCGACGAAGAAGTAATCTCTGACCGAATGGCATACCAGTTGGATAAGGGCTGCCCGTTAGCCGTGGACCGTGATACAGTCTTGACTCGAAAAAATGAGTTGTCTAAACATCAATTCCACCCAATATTTAGCGCAGTCCAACTGAATATGATATAGGATTACAGACGTAAAAAGCAACAAAACATTATCATAATGAGTGCAAACGGATCCAACTGAAGGTACTAAGGTGAGCGGTGTTTTCGTACGTTTACCCAAGAAAGCCGGTGCCCCATATCAGTCGTTGACTGAGACATATTGACAGAGTCGTACAGAGCCAGTGTTTATTAACAAGTGAAAATATTTAATCAGCCGTGACTTGCTTTTCTCTGTAGAGGGAAATTTGTCCTTCTAAACCGTCCCAAATCCACAGACCTTTCTGTTCGATAACCCTTTCTTTGCCCTCCCTAGTGTTAACGCCGCAAATTTCTCGGTCAATTGTATAAGGAACGACCCACGATTTCGCGACATACAGTGATGGTGTACCTGGAACATATGCCAAGTAAAGGATCGCACTTCACATGACGTCTTCATGAGGCTACCGGTATCACTAATTCTCACTCTGATCTAGGTAAACAAGGTCCCAGAAGTGAGTGGTCGCTTGCCAACTTGAAACCTCGGGCCAGCAGCACGTCGAACTTCGGAGATGAAAAACCAGTGAGTAGTGAAGCCCGTGTGAGCTTCCTCTACGCGTGTATCCTTAAACACAAACGATGATCACAGAAATAGTCTCTAGAAGGCCTAAAATTACGATTCCTCATAGGAGCGAAGTCAAAGGAAGCCTCACAACAATATGCAAAAGATAAGATTCTGTATGGGCTAGCGGCGTACTGCGATTACCTTTCCGGTCAGAGTACATCTCAGGAATACCTGCTTCAAACAGGCGAGAACTAGTGAAAGAGAGAGAGCAACAGAGAAGACATAAAGAAGGCACTTATCAGGAAGTAACAAGCATACTGCTATGAACGAATAGCCGTATCGTTTGACACGGCAATCAATTGTGCAATAAACCGAGATGCTTCACGTTGCACTTTAACGCTTCCCACCCAGTAAGTGGCCTTTCGAGCTAAGGTGAGGTAGGTTGGAAGTAATCACTTAAAGTAAGAAGCACTCGCAACAGTAAGAGGCACATAAGAGCAACCGTGCCCATTTCGATATCATCCGGGTCGTTTCATTCGAGGTACCTGAGTGCAGTAGTCCGTCCGTCCAAAAGTAGCACATTTAGACAAAAGAACCCCAAGAAATGTCCTTGGAGGACCAGGACTGTGGTACCTGCATGAAAAAATCCTGTGTTTTAGGGTACCTATTCAGGAGTGGGAAGACCAGTCAGAGCAAGGAAATGAACATCATCAACAACTGTGCATCAGCTATTTGAGTTGCTGTTTCGCTACCATACAAGCGTCACGACAGAACGAGGAATAATAAGAAAGGGATCTAGGATAAGACAAACCTGTTTCAGGTAAACTATCTCGGTCAATGCGCCTACAGCTAGCTAGCAAAATAGGATCACAAACTGCTGACTTTCGTATGAAGATAAATCGAAATCGGCGACAGAATTTCATTATGTCTAACACTACTACGCGTCATAACTAGCCTTATCGTTCAACAAATATTTCGGCATCAAACACACTGCAGATCAGTAGTCCGAATAGGGGAGAGGATTTCAATTGCATCATTGGTACCAGCTGCGAGGTTGTCATGTCAATTCTAGCGTAAAAGGTGAGAGGGACCAGTAGCACCAAATTTGGTCGTCAGTAACTTCCTTTCCTGCCACTAAAATAACATTCGCCTATCTCTAGATTTGGACGGCTTTTGTCGCTAGCGAATGCGATCATCCTGGATGGGTTCGTCCGGATCGAGAACGATACCTGTTAGGCAACAGGTGTAAGGGGTTAGCTGGTTTAAATTGAGGGTCAGAAACATCCGAGCATTCGTCGGGGTTTCTAATAAATAAAAGTACCATTTTCTTGCAAGCAGTAAATCACTTAGTCCTTGATGAGGAACATGTTCTTTCGGAATACATCAGATACTGTGAAGTTTTGGTGGCACGTGAACAGAATAACAGTAAGAAGTGTACCACGTAGATGGTTTCGGGAATGTTGACAAGCCGCGTGTGGCATAGTGCAACGAGAAGAGAGGGTGTGCAGAAACAGTCGGATTAGAATGCATGGAGCGGCACAATGTGCAGTGTAGAGATAAGGATTCTGGTGGATGATATAAGCGCATTGATGAACCCGCCAAAGCCAGCAAGCGAATGGCGCACTGCAGCCAATGACATGCAACACGAGAAGCCAAGGGATTTCAATAATAAGTAGAAGATTTGGAGAAAGGAGAAGAGTTCACATAAACTTGGGGTCATTAGGATACGTCGAACGCATGATACAGAATTGAGTGGATGGCCATGGCGTGGAGCTCACAGTCCAACTTCACATGTTCTCTTGGAGATGTAAAGCTAAATCGACTGCATCCCGATGTAAGATTGTGCTACGGCCCTGACATCGCAGTCTCTAGTAGGATAGGGTAGGTAGTCACCTTCTTGCTATTCTAGGAGTTAAAATGAGTCGAGGACCTATGATTAACTGGCCGACGCGGTTACTGTCTTTCTGTAAGAATCCGAGGTGCAAGCGGAATTGTTTATTATTTCAAGCATAAGTTATACTAACTGCATCCGTTCTGACCAACGAAACATCCACTCATCTTCGCAGTCCGTATTGGAGGTTGCATGGCGCGGGTTCCTTGCTGTGTCTAGTGGTTGTATGGTGTGCATTGCTTATGCGTCCGTTGCTCGTGCGGTTCCAAAGTGTTCCTTTCCTTTGGGGAGTCATTACGACCTGCTGTCGGCAGTTTGCTGTTTCACATCCTGGCCTTGCCACGCTACTAATAACTGGTGCAGTAGCGTCTTCCTTTAGTTCACCGTAATTTGACACAATGGCATTAATCTGCCCCGAGAAGCATGACGTAAGGGTATCGTCACACAATGCGTGAGAGCTCTATATAAAGAACTTGTAGCAGCGTAATATCAGCGAGTAAACTCGGCGCAATTTGTGTCGAAGTAAGGTATTAGGGTTGATCGAAAGGAGTGAATCGAGATTTATCGCTAAATTTTCAGTTGCACAATCTGACCTTCGAAATTTGATAGTATCTGTCAAGAGGAGTATTTTATGGGGAATATGTTAGTAGAATAACTGCATTGACTGATCATAAGGATGTTTCCGGACAATACAAAACTGCTATTGTGATAGATGATGAGGTCACGAACTGTATAACAAAAGCTCGAGGTTCCTTTGCCAATCTCCGCCACCTGTGGCGCCGACGTGACGTCATTCTCACCCAGAAGGGAAAAGTTTACAATGCAGTCGTGCGTTTAACCCTCTTAAACGGTTGTGAAACCTGGTCCATCAGGTCGGCAGACATCAAGAGGCTAAGTACGTTCCATCATCGTTGCCTTTGTAGCTTAGATCATGTCTGGTGGGAGTACCGCAGGAGCAATGAACGTGTTCGGCGTTTCGTGTTTCGTGCAGGAAGAGCGAGTAATCCGCTCAGCACCAGTATATCACGAATCAGGCTCCCATGACTGGGCCACGTGTTGCGCATACCAGCACACCGCCTCCCACGAGGTGCGTTGTTTGCGCGCCTGGGGTCTGGATGGAAGATGGGAGACCAAGCGATGACTTGGTCGAGAGAAATGAATACCCTCAGTTCGAAGTTGGCATCGGTTAGTGCATCCGGACTGCCGGGATGCGGTCCGAAGGACGACGAAGAGGTTTGGTTGGACACACTTGCTGACATGGCTAGGAGCCGGCCCCAGTGGCTTCTGTGTTGTGAGTTACTCTGTCCAACCTCCTCTCCTTTAGATTCCCCTCCAATCACGATATAATAGAAAATTAATAATATGATATTTAAGCTTATATAACATAATTTTTGATTTTTTGTAGGATTCTTTTTACTATCTTATCCTTTTGTATTGTGGCGTATTAGCGGAGGCGTGTTTCGCATGCTCAGCTAACGGGTATTGATGAGGATAATGATGACTATTGGGAAATAAGGAATAGAAGAAGAGAAAGAGCATTTAGAGCAGTCGGAAAGATATAGATAACGGTAATCCGCCCCGTCGTCTTGTAATGTGCAGCCATTAAACTGGTGGCCGGAACTTCGTCTTCTTGAGCAGCCAATAGGAACGATTGGGCTTAAAACAGCTAATCACAGCGATACGGCATGATCCTAGAGACCATATCAGTATCATTACAAAACGTAGATGTACGCAAAAGGTGATGGACAGGGGTTTGCAACCCCTAGAGGTCGAAAGACAGACATTCACTGGTACCGAAAAGAAAGGGCTTTCGTATCTACGCACACGTACGGCTCAGCCGAAATTCCCCTCTAATGCCACAATTGTTGAAAACTGAGAGGAGTCAGATTAGGCCTGACTATACGAACGGCGATGTTAGTTACCACAAGATAAGTTAGGGGTATGGTAAAATAAGGCAAACAGTTGGTTGCGAAATTCTGGTCCATTGAAGTAAAATGGCAGCACCGTTATGGTGAGTTGATGATTCTCTAAATCTGGTAGGGACTTCGTTGGGGCACAGGAGGTGTGATAAACGGACCTCTAAAGCGCAACTTTGCTGGAATCTGTTAACGTAACCTCGATATGTTCGAGAGTGCAGACGAGGAGGTCAACACATCCTAACTACACCAACATTTATCATTTAAGATAGGATACGTGCATCCTGGTACCGCAGGAGGAAAGCTACCTGTTCACCACATTTAGTGACCGCGGGACGAAATAAAATCAGATGTGTGGTGGATGTTTGTGAGTAGTGTAAAGTTCGTAGAAAGTAGAAGTCACGAGTAAAATTCACGCACAATAATGTGCCTCGACGGGGAATCGAACCCCGGTCCACGAATTTCCGGTCCGCTGCTCTACCACTGAGCTACCGAGGGCTGACGATTAGGTGCGCAAATTTTAACACATGACTTCTGCTTGGTGCGCGAAGTATTGCCAATAAGCTCACAGTACCTGTCCTGGTGTTGCAGATTGGCTCACTCACCCGTCACTTCCCAATGGACCGAAGTACCTGTCCTTCGGATGTCCAATGAGCGATGGTAGATTAATTTTGGATGTTTGTGAGTAGTGTAAAGTTTGTGGAAAGTAGAAGTTAATCGTGACTTCTACTTTCTACGAAAAGCAGATGTCCTAAGCTACTTACGTAAAAGGGAAATTTTTGATGAATATTAGAGACTAGATGTTTGCTTGGATATGCAGCATGCATGAAGCCATCGGACTATCTAGAAGAGCAGAGGGTAGCCTAACATGAGTGTAACTGGGAATATGGCCCTCAAGGTAGTTCAACGGTTCATGTACGGAGGAAGGTGACCGCACCGTGACGATTCTGATGCGCTATTTCGAACATTAGATCGTCACAAATAGTGCTCCGAAAGATCGATATTAGGGTAAGGGTCCACCAAAATGCAAACACGGCCAGAATGGAAGCAACTGAAGACGGATGCTATCGGTGTGGCTAAACTCATACAAGGAACAGGAGACGTTGCACATCACCACTAAGACCTTACGTATGACAGGAAACACAAAGTTAGGACGATGAGTGAGAAAAAGATTAAACAAGTAACGGCACTGCAAAGCAGGTCACAATGACAACAGTAGCTTTAAATCGCCTTACCTTTTATCTTGTATTTCACTGAATGCTCGGCGTATCCGAGGCCAGAAGCATTTCGCAGTGTCACGAGTGGCGCTAATGCGCGCTGAGTGCACCTGAGTGAGTTTCCTTGGAGACATCTGGTCTCCTGTGGTTACGGGCACCGGACTTGATTTTAGGTCAGTGGAGGGATTGGGGGGGATATCCGGTGGGTTCGGTAAGCAGTTGGATACTTGGGCGTCTAAATGGACCAGAATAGTGTGAAGATGGGTCTCCGCCTGTCTTGCATGTTCTAGAGCCTCACTGACGGGGATACCTCCAATTGGAGGGCTTGTATCGGGCAATTTGGTTAAATGACGAACAAGTTGTTTCATCAGGAGCAGGTAGCGTGGTAGTCGTTGAACTGGAGCCAAGAGAAATCCAGAAAAATCGGAGCCCTCACAATCGGCGTGTCTTTCCAAGCCCTAGATAAGAGGAAAGGGAAGCCTCATAGAATTCAGCGGTGAGCCGATGGCTCGAGAGGATGCCTGGATAGTGCGAGGACAGGACTAGGCAAGGCGTCCAACTCGTTCCAAAAGGAGAGTTGAACAGCGAGTTGGTTAGAACGGATGAGATCAATTCGACATTGCAAATAGAACATTGTCACACACGGGACCGAGTCTGCTGATAGCATCATAAGAGCTATCCACCAGGAAGACGGCACAAATAAATAGTGACCATGTGAAGTTCAGCTGCTTGGTCACCGAAATAAACTGTTGGTAAGGAACAAGTGCTTGCGTGCAGAAGTAACTATTTAAAATCCTGCCGCACTCATAAATATGTGAGTAGCAGCATAACATCAAGGTGACGCGCAGAAGCTGATACTCATAGAGTACCGTGAGACTCATCCAAGATGCCGACCTAGGTCCCAAGGTCCGGTGTGAACAAGGTGTGAGAAACACAGGAACAAGTGAAATTGTCAAGACAGTAACGTCGATGAGGTTGAAAACACTTCGTTTATTAACAAGCCAAGTTGAAGAACTTTCCATCGAACCAATGTAATCAAGGACAGGAGCCAACTGCTCCTGAAGAGTGTCAGTATGAACCGAATAACTAGGGAATTGTTCATCATCTTGTCTCGAAGTACTACCCATGCGACACGAAGCATCATTGGTTTCTTATGAAACAAACCCGGGCCACTTAGGTTACTGGGACTGAGCATTCAGAATGGAGACCTTCGGTGTAGCACTTTCTCAACACTAGACTCCACGACCGGTTTCGTCCTGAATTAAACTCTTCAGGAGAAGACAGCTTGAGCTGAGAGTGGAAGTTGGGTCGGAGTTGTTGATGTCTTACGTCTTGGTCAGTAGGCCAGAGTTCCGACAGCATCGCTTGAGAGTACGTGTCGCAATTCGAACGTTTGAGGACCACTCCGAAACCCAATTATGCTAATTATCATATCGAGCGTAGCTTATGGAGCCCAATGACCTAGTGAGCAGATTGTCAGCTATTAAACAAAACGTCCGAACTCAGGTTGCTTTAATATAAATAGCATACCCAAGGATGAAACCGGTCTGCGAGTGCCTTGTCTGTAGAGAGAAACACAAAAGATCCTCTAAAATGGAGGTCGATTGCTTGAGATCAACCATACCAGAGAGTATGCACCCCGTACCACATGTGAAAGCTGATGTAGTAGTTCGGTTCCACGAAACAAATTTGCGCAAAACAGAGCACGCACCACCAGCTGGATCGGAGGTTTAAAGAATAGTTGCTGGAAAATACAAACTTTCCAATGAAGCAGATGTTGTGAGCGAAATACCTTAAGCGTGTGACGAAATTTCGAGGACTGACGCAACAACCGACGCATTGTCTCCATGGCGACAGTGAACTGGGTCAAATAATGTTTGTAAAGTGAAAAGAAAACGGTGCTGGGTTCTTCACCATGGAGGGTGTCCTTGGGTCCGAGTTGGGAGTCTGCAATGGGTTCAGTCAGTGTGCGAAGAAGAGCAGACACCGGAAACGCAGGACCATCCGCATTGATCGAGTTGTGCACAGAAATAGTCTCCTGGTTAAGAGTTGCCATTCCAAGATCTAAGCGATAAAGCAGCTTGACGTGCATTGAGTACAATTCAGGTAGACATCTCGGAAACAGGAGGCTGTGCAAAGAGAGGGAGAACAAAAAGGTTGATCGTTCGAATAACCAAGTGAATCATCGATTGTGGCAGTCATAATGAGCTCTGGTTAGTCGACATTTATGCGCCAGTTCGGCCAGTGGGAAGAAAACGCTGGGTTGCTTTTCAGCAGGCCTTAGCAAAGGATTTGCGTACATGAGTATCGAGTATAGGAAGAATGGGGTGAGTTTCCCAGTCTATACAATAGTCTCAAACTCTCACTCTGGACACGACGGTCAGTGTGACACGAAATAGTGATAGCTAGGTTAAGTAGTCAGACTTGCGTTAAAATATTAAGGTGGGCGCCAGCAACAATTACAGTGAAAAAATAACACTGGTACAGTAAAATATTCTGTTCCCTTTAAGCAATTAATGAGCACAGAAGGAAGACATTAATCACGATATAGTAACATTCAGACGCGAACGCAATACAATTAGGAATCAAACGTAAGCGAATTTGCGTAACCCATTACTAGTAGGGTCATCCAAGGGAGCGTGCTCGGTCCTTCACTGTTTCCGCTTTAAGTCGAAGACATCACCACATCAGTGAAACGGAAGGCTTGTGCTCATAGATGATAAGTTATATTCCCTTGAGGCATGGTACCACACGTGGATGATGAACCTTTCGGCTAAGAAATAAGTCATAATGTCTTACGGCTGCTACAACCAAGAAGGATCTATCGCACTAAAGGTTGACCACGTCCATACACAGCTGCCCACGCGTGACCAAGGAATTAGGTACTCATCTACCTTTAACTTCTCCTAACAGTCCGAGTACTAAGTATCACATGCCATACAATCTACGTTTAATATATCCAACACAAACCACACAACCTATGCTAGATTTGAACCCCTTAAGCTACTCACCCGCCCTATTTTCGAATACTCTAACAGAATATACGGCAACATGAGAAAGAGTGATGGTATTGCTCTGAAACACCTGCAGACGTCATTTACTAAAAGTTTAATTGGTAAGCGCTCTGCTGTGAATTATCTATAGCGTTGTGACGAACTTCAACTCGAACCACTTTGAATTCGACGACTGAAGCACAACTTGTTGCCGCTTGCCAAACTGCTACACAAAAAAGACCTATTCCGAGTTTCCTAGACTCGAACTTCAACATAGCTCAACTAGAGAGCTTTGCAACAGAGTATCTACTGAGTATGCTAAAGGCCAGAGCAAGTAATCGCCCAAATTTCTTCATGATCAGACATATATGTTTATTAAACTGCCAATCATACTCAGGTCAAGACAAATTGGTAACATTTAGCAACTAGCAATCGAATTACTTTGATCGGAACACAAGAATGACTACGTTCACATGCGCAACCCTATTGTGTACGGTCGTTTGATTCGCGGAATGGCGACACGCCCGGCGATGTACGATGCAGGATTGCTATTCCGCAGTTGACACGCGACAGTTTGTTGCGTCACCACTTGTGGTAACCAATTTTGGTGATGTTCAGCAAACCTTAAAGCCCGTCTATGATTAGTACTGCCTATATAAACGGCACTGTAACTGCAAGTGAACTGGTAGATTACATGTGAAGCGCAGTGCCTGACAGGCTTAGCGGATAGTGTTTGAGAACCAGTCTTCGCGTGGTGTGTAGGCGTCACAGATGGGCGGTGGTGTAGGTACGCAAGTGCGCAGACTTGATCTTATGCCTGATGTCACTGGCCCCTCTGCTTGTTTTGAGCATCCCAGATCTTCTTGCACAAGCACCCCAAGATCATTCTCATGATAAGAGCGCTGCAAAATGTGCTGTCCAAGCCGAGAATCACAGCTGCTTTGGTAGCGTATGCTTATTACTTGCGGTTGATAGGGTTAAACACAAGCAGGCTCGTAGCCAAACATTCCTAAGTACTGTTGAGAGCGCGTTGCAGTGTTACTTGGTCGTCCATTCGCTAGATTCCCAGCCAAATCTTGAGATGGTCCATAAAGAGTAGAAAGTTCGAGGTGAGCACTCCCGTGAGATCGTCTACGGACATTACGACAGTACCGAGCCTTGAGGGACGTGACAGTGAACCTGTATCGGTTCGGACATGGCGCTACAAAATGGCACATTCAAACGACGTTATAGCAGGAATGAATAGGGTCAACAATAAGATAGCACCGAAGATTGTAAAGAAAAATGCGGTGGATGAAGCGATCAAGTGCTTTAGAGAAAATAAGGTAGATGGCGTCGATTCTTTCACCCTTGTCGACCGATTCCGTCCAGCTGGCACGGCATGTTACATGAGCGATTTCACCGGAATCCATACCTCTCCTGCACGATAGTATAGCACATTTCTAAATATCCCATGAGTGCAACTGCAAGGGCAGATGACATGACTTTGGCAAGCACCTGAAGAAGAGTGATCGGGAGGTTGTGTGCAGGCACAACACATTTGTCTCCGTTGTAAATAGGAGTGACTATTCCAAACTTCCACCTTGTTGCAGCCTGCAGCTCGTCGACACAGCGCCGGGAAAACTGAGGTAACGATTCAGCCGAACTCTTAGAAGCCATCTTCAATGGCTTGGGGAGTAGGTTATCCGGCCTAGGCGAACTTTACTCGCGTAAAGACAACAACCGATTCAGCACATTCGAGATTGCCAATGAGATTTGGCTACGTCCCGAAGATTATGTGATATGTGTGAGAATGGTGTGGAAGTAACGCTTTCTGGAAAGTATAAGCAAATTGATGTGGAAGATCGCTAAGTAATTTTGCGGTAGTTTGCGCTTGCCCACATGCGGTGTTTAGAGGAGGAACGCATCGTTGTACTATGCGGAACATGTTGTCACGTCTGTAAAGTAGCATGGGATAGAGGCAGAACATCTTCGCTAAATCTTGTTGGTGTTTTGACTTGTTTCACGGACCGAGTTTACACAAAACTTTCGTTCAGAGATGCAAGCAGCCCAGTGTTCGGCGCTTGCATTCGCTTTGTACTCACCAAAGTGAAGCTATCAAGGTCATTCGTGTCTGCGTCCTACTTCCCATGAGCGATATTACCATTTAAAGTTAAGGTTCGTAGGCACTGATGAGTTTGCTAGTAACATGCTGAACTGGCTGACGAATTCCCACCAAGCGGTATCGCGGACCCGACTGAGGTCGGATAGAATGCGGCGACGTGTTACGTGGCGGACCTCCACGATATCCTCTTTGAAGTGTTCTGTGTAACAGACGTAGGTGAAAACAGTGTTGCATGACCGCCGCGATTCAATAGCTAATCAATTTTACCGTTGTGGTGGATTAAAGGCAGATACTACTGCGCTGGGTGTAAGTAGTGTGGTGGTGCAAGAGGACACACCAACAGCGAGCCCTGCCGACTTCCTCAAAGTTGAAGATGACATCAGGATTACAGTTCCATGTGCACGAGGAGTGAACACAGAGGCAAGCACCAGTTGGGGAACACTTCATGGAAATCACGCAGATGAGCGGACGCCTCCAAGGTATGGACGAACACACCTAGTGTAAGCCACTTTGGCAATAAACAAGTTGCCGCCTGCCCCTTGGGTTCTAACACCGTGCCTAAGTTCCTCATTGCTAAACACGAGGTATCAAATGGCCGGCTCGTTCCTCCTGCTAATTCACATAGGGGAACTAGCGTGCTTATGAAGTGCTAAACCAGCGACTATTTTTGCAGTTCAGCTTTAAGCTGCTCAAAAAGAAAAGCCGGAACATCTAGAACGTGTAAGTCGAAATCCCCCACAAGAAGATAACCGTTAGACTGAACCAGAACGGTTTTTATAACAAAAGACAGGCGACTGTTCTTTTCTAGAGTGGACATCGGTGTACTAAATATGTCGCCACGTCTTAGTTGCAGGTGACACCGTATTGAGTCCAGCTCTGGGTTACCAACGGTTTTGAAAGGTAGAGCTATGGTACAAAAGTATATCACTTCACCTACTAGGTCGATTTTTACGTAGGACGGATATGCCTGCCAGTGCAATCTCGGCATCAGTAAGTTCTTCGTGAAGTTAGGTATGACTGGTCATCGTCAAGTCTAAAGACCTCAAGGCTTGATGAGATTGAAGCTCGGATACTTTTGCTGAAGAAGTCCTGTGCATTGATACCGTTCATGAGAATACTTCGAAATCCAGAAGCATATCTGATGGCACGAGTGTGAGACGTGAGCTTTTGCTGACCCTTGTGAGGAACTGCTACATTTGACATTGGGTTGCTTCATATTGGCTGATAGAACGCTCACAGGATGATGTTACAGCTTCAGTAAGTATTAGGCAAGTCGCAGCACATTCTATAGTTGGTTGCGCCCCGCAGTAGTCATTTCGGAAGTTTCTGGGTCTACCGTTGAACTCCGGTGAATTTGCTCCCTCACTTTCGGACAATTGATATCTGGTGTTGAACGCCTTTAGGTGTAACTGAAGTGAGCTTTCAAGTGTTTTCTCCGCCACGTATTTAGACTAGAACACAACTGCATTTTGATGATGTGGGTTATCCTGAGGTAGACTTCGTGATCATGTTATTAAGTAAGAACACCCGATAGTTGTATCGGTAATTCTCTTAGTCATGGGCTTCATCGGAGCGTCCTTCAGATGGTGGTAACTACCAGGACTGCGTTTTACGCACTGACGCTCGCTCAAACGGACGTCAAGAAAAATCCGAACGCCACGCCAAGAAGAATGGCTGACAAAAGAACTGCCTCAACTTCGTTTGCTGATTGTAGTGTTTTCTGTACAATCCGTGTTTCACCGTGGTGGGCCGAGTTTGGGTGCCGTCCAATGTGCACCGGACTAGCCAGTTTAGAGTGCACGCTTATTAATGGGCACATGGATTCCTACTGTTTTCGGTCGTACAGAAGTTTTATGAAATTCGAGCAAGATTCAGGAACACTGGAACATACGATGGTGGGTTCGTTTAGGAGTGACTGGTTTGAGAGGGAATGTGGCCTGAGTTTGTGGCGTAATCGGACATCCATGAACAATTATGCCACGTACCATATGCGCCCAGTAGTAGTTTGGTCGTCCCTTTTGCTAAGTGAAAGACAAAACCATGTGAATTTTGAGAGCCGGCCACGAAGTGGCATGATTTGAGTTATTTTTTTCCCTGGAAGTAAAGTCTAGCCCCAGTTTGGAAGGGTGTGATGAATGGGGTCCGCGTGTAACCGTTGCAGAATAACCGAATGAATGTAGCGGACGCAAAGTTGCTAATGAATATGCATCCACCAAATGTGGGCCAAGTGAGCAAATTAAGTAAAAACAGCCTTTTCAGAAAAGCTTGTTTCAGCTCGAAAAGGTGACATCGACTTAGTTAGTTCGATGTTTGTAGTTCAGAAACTGAGATAGCAGGAAGCCGACAGCAACCAGCGAATTAGGTGTGGGTTGCCGTTACAGGAGCAGCAGCGGAAAAGCACGCAGCAACCCAGTGGTGTCGCAGTGCGCAGAAATCGAAAACGAAAACGGCAGAAGAATGCTTCTGAGGAGCTTGGTCTGCAAGGCCTAGCTAAAATAGTCTATATGCTGTACCATCGTATGAAAACGAGCAGGTAGCTATGGTGGATTTATCAGACCCAAGGAGGAGGATGCAGACGCCACGAAGTCGGACTATTTCTTCGCCAGCAGAAAGCAGACATTTCCCGTTCGCGGAGATAATGAATCAACACCGTCAACAAAAGATTCACGGACGGCTGAACGATTAAAATGACCGATTGAGACAAGAAGGTGACACGCACAGTGTATAAAACATTAAATGTCAGATCATTCTGGGTGAGAAATGATAGTTCAGTTGTTTACAATCCATGTGGCTGCACTAGCCTGAACTCGGCACCTCTGTGATCCGCGGCGAAGGAAGAGATTCATAGAAGATAACGAAAACGGTGAGATCAGCAGCGCCGTCTGACTGACTACAAGTAATATGTGCGCAATATCCTTGACTGCAAGCGACCGGCTACTTACATGGACATGTTTAGGAGAAATGTAGACGACTAAATAGATCGACAAGCATTTTTACTAAAGATACTGTAGGCAATGCTGACATAACACGATCCTATCTTCAAGGCTGTCACAAAAAAGCGTGAAGCTGCGCAGAGCGAGTTGATTTTCGCTTTCGGTCGAGTTCGAGGACCATCCTCGGCTGAATGGGCCACCTCGAAGGAATGACTCATGAACAAAGGGTCCCAAAGTTTCAGCGGCAAGTTCACAAATGCGTTCCTGTCATCTGATGAGACGACTGGCATGCAAATTAAAAGGTGTAAGCAGGGAGCTGAGTGTAGTGTAAGCCTTTGTGCATCTGTAGTCAATCGTTTTAACCTTTCATGGAAGTTATACAGGAGCTAAAGTGCCACAACAAAGTGTGCTGAAACTTGCACTCACCGAAGGTCTTTTAAACTGACGCCAGTTTTGGTACACACAGTTTTCGCGACCACTTCGGAGAAGACGTACAATGACCGACAGTAACTGCGCTCTGTAGTCACCAATTCCTCCAAAACGTGCCCTACCAATGGCAGGATGTGTGACGATTGAACTTGAGAAAGCACTAGGTCATCGTTGGCTAGATAATTGGAGTTCTCGTTGTTAGACTCTGAAATTAATACAAAATATGTTCATGTATGTCGGAATAACCAGAACAGAGGGCGCAACAATGTCGACTAAGTGCAAACAACCGTAGCCACTTGGATGATTACATGCATAAGTCAAGTTATTGATCCGAACCCACCTAATGGTGCACAAATCGAAGAGCGTGTCAAGATATGGGTAGTAAGAGTGGAAGGGGATAATTGAATGACCGGTCAGAAAAAGCAACTTAATTGAGTAATTGGAACTGACCAACAAATACTGTGACTTCGAGAGGCACTTGGTGTCCTATCAGCCAACAATCACCTAGCAGACAATGTGTCCGAACTCGCTTGCGTGAAGCAAGATCTCTATCAACTGAGAGCATGGCTACCACATGAACAATTTTGGGGCGAAATCAATCGATGGTGCGACTACTTACTTGCAGGTAATAGGCTTAATCTAATAGCCCTTCAAGACTCAGGGAGGTGAGGAGTAATGCGTTGCTGCTATTCAGCAGGGTGCAAGTGAGATGCCGCTTTATCTTTGTACGGTAGCCAGCGGTTTGTGACGTTATGTTGTCTACACAAGGTGTAGGTGCCTTGACCCAGAATGTTTGCTTAGGGCATTAAGGTTTTCAGGTAAGTCTCTAGTCTCTCCCTCTTCTTTTTCTTTATTTCATAGGTCCTCATGGTTGTATGGCAGCGAAGCATCATTTCAAAAGGCTGATGTGCTGCCGTTGATGATGATAATGATGAAGTGAGATGAACATACCTCAACCATAGGGTTTCTCATGCTCAAAAGCCCACGGTTGAGGAGATCGGACCAGATGAAGAAGAGATGACGCTCAAAGTCTCAAATGAAACTGAAGTTTTGAGCGAGATACCCAGGCGCCACCCAACTGCAGCTTTGCCAACTTTATGGGCTTATAAGAAGGGCGGGGAAGGCACGGGTTTCAGCTTGATCCATTTAGTCCTTCGCATATTTCACGTGCTTTGAAGGAGCCAAAAGACGATTAAGTTTGACGATTATGAAGCCAGCAGTTGTCATACAACAGAACTGCCAATAAGAATACTCAGATGGCCATCATCGCTGTAAGTTTTTTTGGTATAAAGTATGTACCAGTGACATTACGCCAGTAAATATCAAGTTTAGAGGGTCCGATAATTTTTCTAAGGAAATAAACGTATTCGGTACTGGGTTTAACCGGCGGTTTCTCAACTAGAAAGAAAGAGTTAATTGGTTCCATTTCAACTAAAGTGAGTACTGCGAAAACACAAATAATATCGACAGGCAGGCTGGGTAAATTATAACAAAATTTCCCGCATCGTCAGTAAGCGCATGGACACGTGGGCAAGCGCACACGCATTACTCGTTAGTCTCGCTACTGCAGCTGTGTAACTTCTGCTGTTAAACCCAAAGAGTGATGCCAGGTACATGTTTTTAAGTGTAAAAGCAGTATAAGCTGGCGCTTCATACGAAGTTGACGCAGCAAGTATGATGCGTCAAGGTTAGTGGCCAGGCAACTGTTGAGTATGTATGGTAAGTGAAAAGTGGATATCCGGTCAGTTGCAGAGTAGCTACGCCATTTAGCTTGCACTCCTAAAATCACCGGTTCGAGGTGTGGGCTGTGCCTTCGCAATTTGGCTCAAATCTAGTAGGAACACCGCTTGAAAAACGAGCGTGTTTGACGCCTTGTTTACGGCGCAGGAAACGGAAATGAACCGTTCAGCACCGTCATTTCACGCACCAAGCTCTAAGGGCTCGGCCATGGGTTACGCATGCCAGCCCACAGGCTCCCGCGACTTGCGTAGTTTGTTCGCCGCGGGTGTGAATTGAAGAAAAGGTGGGGTGGTCAATCGATGACGGTCTAGAGGGAGGAAGACCATTACTTCGAAGTTGGCTTTGGTTGGAGTCTCTCGGCTCCCTGGTTGGAGTCTGAAAGACTGTGAACACGTTTGACTGGATTACTTGTTGACAGGGCTAGGAACCGACCTCAACGGCTTTCGTGCTGTGAGCTTTTTTTGTCCTGCCCCATCCCTCTTAGCTTCTCCTTGCAACCACGATCTCATTTCTTAGCATAATGTAATCATTCATAATAAAAATTTTTGCTGCATAGTAATCGGCTGGTACCTCTCTGGAACGCTGTCCATCCGTTACTGTTAGCTCAGCTGGCGTGTACCTGTCGCATGTTTTTTCTTTAATCTATTGCGGCACAGTAACTGAGATGTTTTCCACCTCTATCTAACATGTGTAATGATGATGTTGTGGGAGAGCTTGCACTACTCCTATACTACAAGCGGCTGGTATTGGTCGCGTGGTATCGAAGCGTCCGTACTGCGTACGGTTGAGGTTTTTCTTATTTCTTCGACACGAGAGAACACAGACAACAAAGTGGATGTACGCCATCTAACACCAAGTTCTACGACAAAAAGCATAACCGAAAACAGTTGAGTGGGGAAACCGATGTGCCCGGTATCCAGTGAAGGGATACGCAGGGTTGTCTCCATTGTAGTCCGGTTTTAATCGAGGATGGAAGTAAAATAATTCATAAGCTTCGGTTGTACGAATCCCACATCAGGCAAAGACGACCTCTGTACTGGCGCGTTGGCGTGGACTGACGTAGAGCGCTATATACTTCACTAGTTAATTCTCCGGTTGAAAACGTAACAAGGCACTGTCCAGGGTTAGGGCGATAATCATATAATTAAATCGCAGAAGAGACCACTGAGCGTATAGGAAACGTCAAGGCAGCTGTTTCTCGGCTAAATACGAGAGGTACAAGACGGCAGTGGATGGGAGACAGCCACTATAAGCTGAATAAGCTAAGAAACGGAGATCACTGTTTGGCGGCGCATACAAGTGCCGCACCGATCCGGTTAGAGAATCGCAAACCATGGGGCACAGTACCGAATACACTGCAGTCAACGACCCATTCATCCATTTATTCTACTCGTCAGCTCGGGTGAGAACTACCTCAGATAATGTGCCACAGTACCAATGAATCAGATATACAAAAGAGAGAAAACAAATAAAAAGTGAGAGTTGCCTTGTTTCATATCATGCACCAAGAGCGAGATCGCGGTTGGAGACAAAGAGTCTCATTACACTAAATCCACTGAGGTCGCCCCCGGGCTATGTTAAAAAATGCCTTCAACCAAAAGTGTTTATCCTCCTCCTGACAACAAAGCAAAAGTCGAGAGGCTGCAACCGAAGCACACTTCGAAGTGACGGCCTTCATTCCGCTTGACCAAGTCAATATTAGCTTCCCTACCACTTCTTCCCTCCACAGATCGCTAGCGCAAACGCATGCCGCAGGAGTCGGTGTGCCGGCATGCGCATTACATGGCGTAGTCAGCAAATCCTGGTGCATGAAAATATAGTGCTGACTGGTTCGACTCCTCCCTGCGTCGTAACCATCGCTCACCCAGTATTCCCGCCAGATGTGGGTAAAACCGTGAAGACACCGGTGTCGAAGGTAACTAGCCTTTTTGCGTCTGTCGGTGTGACAGGCCAGGTTTCGTAACCGTACAAGAGGGTTGACCGGACGGTTGCGTTGTGAACTTTGTTCCACAGGGCGAGAGTGATGTTGTTGTGGTGCCATAAGTGGCGAAGTTGTGCGAAAGCGACTCGAACTGTTGCTATGTGGTTAGTGACATCATCTTATGTTCCACAGGCACTGATACAGCTGCCAATCTAGTTGAATTTGTGAACTAATTCTAGTTGATCCCTACCAAGGGACAGCACATGGGTTGATGCTTGCCAATCCTGGAGTAAAGTTGTGCCTTGGATGCCAACTGGTACTAATCTATCCAGTGCTGTCTAGCCGGTTTGCGAGCAGTCGCAGACTGGGGTATTGTCATTTGTATACGACAAATCAAAAGGTCGATCACCTCAGTCAGACATCAACTAATTGTGTGAAAGGATAAGCCTACTCACAAATCTCCATGCGCGTTCATTAAGGAAAAACCCTGTCAAAAATATCAGTTTTGGTTCTTAGGTCCCGTGATTGTAAAGTGAAACCCGGGATGTGCTCTGATTAGCAGTTATCTCGACTTTAGGAAAGCGTTCAAACGACTCTCTCATTCCGATTTGCTGAACAAGCCAATGTTCTTTAATACTTCAGTGAAATAGATTACGGTAAATAGCATGGACTCCAAATACAGCTAAGCATCAAGCTGCACCATTCAGTGCAGTAATAAAGCTCCAATACTACTCTATACTCTACACGATTGGATTTATTGCATGGATCTATTGAGTCACAAGTTTCGGAAAAACTACACCGAGGGAAAGAGCGTTTTGATACTCGTAGCAGAGACAAGCATGTGACAGATTCAGATCTCATCTACATCCGCTTACCTACAGGCTCGTGGTGGGAGCCAGCCGTCGTTAAAACAACTAACGGACAGATAATAGAAGCAGAGACTGAGGACGGCAAGATTGTTCGACGCCATTTATATCATGTGCGACCGAGATTGTCCGACACAGAAACAGTTGCCGAGACAGAGAAGCCAGCTCAAGCATCGAACGATAAGCGCGTGCGTGAAGACGAACCGGTAGCTGAGTTACAAGTGCGGCGCTCTGAGTGCCGACGCTGACCGGTCGATCGTTTCCAAGCTGGATACCTCCAACTAAAGGGGAGAAAGTGATACAGACGTTGAGCGCGTCAAGGTCATGCTACACTACCTAGACTGTGGAGCTGCATTGTGCGCGCTAGTGCGTGAGTGTCCATCTCCCAACTAACCAGCGATGCTTATTGATTGGTTCAAAAGCGGGTGTTTAGCAGAAACATGTGAAGTGCGTAAAACTAAACAGTTGGTCTGTACCCAGTGTGGACTGCCGATGTACCACTGTCATGGCTTCTACTAAACTTCCATTTGCAATACTGTTGTTCTGATTTCGGTTGAGTGTAACAGTCGCGTCCCCGGAACTAGGATCATCGACCCTGACGTGATTATTAGACTTACTGCAGTTGGCGTGTCTTCTCATCATTGTTAAAACGAAGCTGGAGATGTTGATGCGTCAATCAATAGTCAAATGTGGTGGGCATTGCTCTCAGTTCCAACGTTGTAATCACTAGTTGATTAAACTACCATGAGCAGCCGTATGTGTGCTACCCATTAGATGAAATCAATCAAAGTGGATTCACGCACTACACTAGCCGTTGTTCTTTCGTTGTTTCTGCTTACGCAGTTCTGGTGCACACCTTCTACCACGAATCGAACACGATGTTTCGTAGAGTTGCCGTGCTATCCACGCGCAAGCACATCGACTGCGCTGCTCAGTTGTCGATCGAAGTGATAAATACGAGCATAACTCCCGTTGCAACTGGGTGCGGAGCACCGACTGTTTAGTAGTAGCACAGCTTTTAGACACAGTAGGCACCGAAGTTGCCCTTAGCGTACCCCTATAACGTGACAGCGATTGACCGGGATAGATCACATTACAGTTGACGTGGTTCCATCCTGACCTGTCGGTCGCTCTAAAATACCTACGTGGACTCTGATCATGCTTTGCTACGTTGTCCTCTTTCTATGTACTTTATCGGGAGGCATATCAGGCGTCTCGCTCGATAGACAAACTAATGTTATACCAATATTTGGGCAGGCAAGACTACCAGAATGCCTTGCGTACTGAACTTACACAAGCAGGTCCCAATGACACGGAGATTCAGTGAAATATGATATCTGCTGCCAGGCACAACGAAGTGGTCGTGCTTGCGGCACTATAAGTTGTCACCGCACCAGTCAATGGAATTTATAAGAAAAATCCCGAGTGGACATGCGAATTAAAACTGCGTTTGTGTGCTAAAATGGAAGTCTGGTTAACCACTATGGGTCACGGGAGGGAAGAGGCGGCAGAATTATGCAGTTATCGCAAACTTTTCCAACTGATGCACACCAGTGGTCGCAGGAACCCAAGCGACCGTGAAAAAATCAGGGTCAGCGTGGGTGACCTGATTCGCAATAAGGGGCACCGTATGGCTCGTTGGGCAGGGCAGGTTCGAGATCAGTTCAGTTGGCCCCATGCATATGATATTTCCTGTTCGCGTAGTGCAGGCTGGCTAATTAGTTTAGAGGCTCCATCGGAGGCTTACGCCTGAAAAACGATCACACACGTTATTCGCTTTCAAGGTACCGGCCCGGATGCCCTCGTAACTGCAATGTATAAGGATGGAGATGAAGTCCAGTGCAAAACACTGACTTTGTTCAGACAGGTCTGGAAGGAAGGAAAAAGAGAGAGAAGAGAGAGAGAAGCATTGAGTATCGTGGCAATAAACAAGAAGGGCAGCCGCACCGACTGCGCTAACCACAGAGGCATCGGTCTGATGCAGGTGTTGAAAAATTACTGGCATCTATCATTGTTCTTCACCTCAAAGACGAACGGGAATCACGGATTAGGGAAGAGCAAGCAAGTTTCCGCCTAGGATGAGGCTGTATAAAGCATACATTCATTCTGCGACAGGTGCTAAAGCAGACCGACAATAGCTGTGTTCCTCGGCTTCAAGGGTTTGTTCGACTCAGTCGATGGATGCATCCTGTTCGAAATACTTGCGTGGAAAGTTGTCCCCATGAAATATGTGAAGATTTTACCTGCTCTACACTCGAACATGACAGATCGTGTCCGGGTTTATCATAAACAATCGGATAGCTTTCCGATAACAAGTGGCGTTCGTCAGAAGTGTCCAATGTCCGTATTTTTCAACTTCATCGTGAACTCCATCATGGAGTGTTCGCTTATGAAGCCTCATGACGCAGGCAGTGAGCTTAAACCTGGTGGAAAGTTAGTTGATCTTGATTATGCGGACCATATTGTCTTGCTGTTTAACGATGTCAGGAGCCCAGTCAACCCGGAATAACAACTCTAGAGTGGTCGCATCCTTTGGCATTCGCTTCTCATCTTCGAAATGCAAAGTTTTGTTGCAGGACCACTAGCCACTTGACGACCCCTTGACACTGGATTGCGACGATCAATTGATCAATTCACCTAAGTTGGCAGCTGCATTAGCAACGATGGGCGCATAACCACCGAAGTCAGTTCGCGTATTGAAAAAGCTAGAACTGCCTTCTTGAGTCCGTGACACTTGTGGCCTCAGAAGGGGTTTCTCTCGGTCTTAAATGCCGCATTTACAAGACCACAGTGAGGACCGTCCCACTCTATGCGACAGAATTAGCCCATTCGATCTGAGTCTTTGATAATCCCTGCGTGAAAAGCACTGCTGGTTTAGGACGAGACCAGTGTGTCCGTAAAGATGATGTGCGTAGGCGAGTGCTAGGCACTGCTACTAATGCTAGTTTCTTTGAACAACAAATAACATTCAACAAGTTGCGTTGGCTTGGGCACGTATTAGTTATGTCCAGCCACCACTTACCGAGGAGTACGCTATTTTGCAAAGATGCAGTTTATCGCAATTACCTTTCCGCCAAATAAGGTCCCACACGACTGGAAAAACACCAAACGGCTGTCTCAACCTTCTGGGTTTCGTTAGTGGTGCGCCTTCCTCGGATCCCTGCCGAGTCCCGACCCTATGGCTTCCGGATGTTATCAGCTTGTGCCACGAAGCCGGATGTAGAGTGGCGCAAAGCTTGAGATGAGTAAAAATCGGTTTGACAGCAGATGAATACACTGACGATCAAACTGGATGCTGTTGGTCCGTGAAGTCTTCCAGGTTGGAGTCAACGTGACCTGCCGTTTGCTTGGCTCGAGACTTTAAAAGACTGACTTGCAGTTAACACCAGTGGAGCGTCTGCTGTCGTCTCTTTTGGATTAACAGTTTAAACTGTGGCTGATGCTGAGATAGCTGTGTGGTTTTGCTGGTTCTGATGCGCGGCAGTGAAGGCCTCAAAAAACTGTCCCGTCAAATCCAACTAACTTTTTGCACGGCAACCAACTGTTTGCACCTGTATGCTATTAACAAATTGTAGTCGCCTTGACCAAAAGGTATGCTTAATGCATTTGGTTCCTACATTAAGTTTCTCGTTCCCACTTATTTCGCTTCATTTCCTAGACCATTGTAGCTTTGCCGCATCGAAGCATCGGTTCAAATGGCTGATATAATGTTGTTGTCAAACTGGTGTCCCAGTGTAGCTGGATTAGTTGAAATGCATGAATGGACCCGTAGATGTTACCCAAAGAAGCAAAAAGCTACCTCACCGGCTCTTGAATTAGATCTGGATGGACCGGGATCTGTACGCTTACGCCGCGGTTGACTTTGTATAGATGGGGTAGGTAAGCTCGACTGCGATCTGGAAGACAATACACCAGGCGACATTGACTGTGTACTTGAAGGAATGCTCATTGACGGGTACTGGGACGATGCGCAGACAGAGCCCTGTGGAGAGAAGAACAACACAGGTTATCGCCAAGACCACTTTGGGTATTTGTTAGCTGGTGACAAAAACGTTCCGCCTGAATGAAGAAAGACAGTTTAAAAGCTTCAATAACTTTGGCGCCGGACACTGTGTCAACTATTTTGTTTACCACGGATGAGACAGGATTCAAATTCGGGATTTAAATGAGGAATTCGGCACTTGGAGTATATTAGTTTTCACCAAAGTGGTTGGGGAATGCGGAAACTACACTGTACAATGAACTGGTCGTGATCAGGAATGCACCAGTTTCGTAACCTCCCAGCGAAATTGCGATTACTACATCATTTCCGCAACAGCTTCAAAGGAAAGAGAACGGGATGATATCACAACGGAGACACTACCCTTCCATCTAGAAAAATGAAATGTGTTCTCCTACCAGAAATAGTAAAGCGGAAGGCTCAGTGACAGTCTTGACTCAAGTCAAACGGGTACGGAACGTCGAAGCATACTTTGATCTGACTGTCACCATTCTAGCCAAAGATAAGCATGACAAGTGGTTGCGGCATGTGTAGCGGCATTAGGAGCCCATCTGGTACAAGGACTCTGGGTGATGACCAATGATTTCGTACGGGATAAGAAGTATTTACCTAACTAAGCCCGTTGGATGGTCTAATAGGAGTTGTGGAGTACGTACGAAGGGTAAGTTATTACCTTTAGTGGTAAAAGCAAGACGCGTTTTTCCCGCAATTTTTGCCCTACGTATTGATTCAAAGTACGAGTAGGTGACGGATGGCAACTCCAAGGTCATTGAGCGTATCGTACAACCGTTGTCCAAACATAGTTAAAATGAGTGTGGAAACGACCACGTCGGGGAAGTGTGTCATAGGGATAGCATATACCAGCAGAAAAGAACATTATGCACCTTCAGAGCCACTCATACCAGATTGGTCAATGGTTAGAGGCCAGACAAACTCAGCCTCCTGGTCCTCCAGGTTGGGGGTTGGAATAGGGGTGGATCCTCATTTCATAAAACGGACTCCTCAGTCCAGTGCCAAAACCCGCTGCCTTGCGGTAAGGTTTTTGAACCAAAGGCTTTGGTTGAGAACCCTAATCGTTCTCCTGTCTAGGCCTGGGCAACCTGACAGTATTCTGCCTACAACAATTTCTTGATGCTCTGGCCGTCGCAGAGGATAATAAACGGCGCCCTATCTGCTGCATCGAGCAGGGTGGATAGGGGTATGGATGCTACTGCTCAGGCCTTCCCGTCTTCTTATACCCCTTCTTGCGCTTCTTCATCCTTATCGTCCCTCTCCAACTTTACTTATATCCCCCCATTTTCAATCCCCCAATTCTTGGTCCTCCCCCAGCTTTCTTCAGTAGTCGCTTGTCTTCTAATTTCAAATCACACACAATCCCAGGGCCTCGCTCCAATCCAGTTGACAAGTCCATGTTCAAGCAAGCGGACAACGTCAGTTCATCCGTTTCCCTTTGGAGTCCTCGCGTCTCGCTAAGACTGGCATGCCTCAACGTGCGCACTTTGCTACAGATTGGCCAACAGGCAGCACTTGCAAGCACACTAGAGACCCTGTCGATCGATATTTGCTGTTTATAAGAAACCCGCCTGCAAGATTCGAGCTCCGTGCTTACCCTGAGATCTCCCACATGCGACACTGGCAGCACATTCTCACTGCGCCTGTCTGGCGATGATGCAGCTTCAAATGCCGGTCAAGCTGGCGTCGGCATTGTTTTGAGTCTCCGGGCTGAAGCTGCTCTGATTGATTGGATCCCAGTAAACAGTAGGATGTGTGCCGTTACATTAGCTGGTTCCTTCCGTGCTACGAAGTCGCGCGGGGACAAACGGTGCCTGTTTGTCATTGCGGCTTACGCCCCTACAAACTGTAGCACTGATTCGGTAAAAGATGATTTCTATCAGCAACTTCACGAGCTCCTTCGTTACAGAAGAAGCACGGATACTGTGGTGTTGGCTGGTGATCTAAACGCCCAAGTCGGAAAGTTGTCCTCTGATGAGCTTCATCTGGGCGGCTAACATGGTGTAGGCTCCCATAATGATAATGGTGAGCGCTTGCTACATCTATGTGAAGATACTCGCCTCTTTCTCGCAAGCACTAACTTCCGACACAGCACCCGCAGAAGCGTGACTTGGCGGCCATCAGCCTCGGGCCAACCATGGACACAAATCGATCATATCGCGATCAGTTACCGCTGGAGGGGCTGTGTCCAAAATTGTCGCTCAATTTGGAGCACGAAGGTGGACTCTGACCACGCACTTGTCTGTGCCGACCTCCGGGTGCGTTTCGGTGGACGTCCGCAACGTCGAGGTGAACGGATTGACACCAGCCAGCTGGCGAAGCCAGATGTTCTGAATGTATACGATAGTGCGCTGACATCTGGGCTGAGTAAGCGCACACTAAACACCGTTGAAGATCACTGGTCGCATATTCGTCAAACGTTACTGTCCGCAGGCATGTCTTCATGTGGCAAAGCAAATTGCCAAACCGGACATTGGGTTTCTACACAGGCTCTGGAACTTATGGATGCTCGCCGACGTATTCCGGCTGGAAGCGAATACAATGATGCTTGCAAAAATCTCAGGGCAAAACTAAGTGCTAGCCCTAGGAAAGACCGCGAAACCTGGTGGTCTCATCGTGCCTCTGAGATGGAAACAGCCGCTGCCGTGGGTAATCATCTTAAGTTATTCCGTCTGATACGGGAAACAGGCAGCAGGAGACCTGGTGTTAGCGAGACCATACGCGACGAGAGTGGGCAGCCGATCCACAGCTTGTCAAAACGCTTGGAGCGTTGGGCCGAACACTTTGCAAGGCAATTTAACAAACCTGAGTTATCGCTTTCTTCTTCGGGCATTGAGCGCCCTTCTCCGTGGGCCGTCTCCTAGGATTCGCCCTCACGCGCAGAGGTCGAACGTGAGATCCGGCTGTTGAAATTGCATAAGGCCTCAGGAGCAGATAGAATTCCCCCAGCCCTCTGCAAATTCTGGGGACCTGCTCTAGTAGATGATCTACACGAGTTGCTAGTAAGACTTTGAGAGCAGGAGACAGTCCCGACAGACTGGAACCGCTCCGTTATTGTCCCAATTTTCAAGGGAGGCTCTCGTTTGGAATGCGGCAATCATAGAGGGATCAGTCTGATTTCGATTGCCTCTAAATTGCTTGCCTCTGTCATTCTCCGCAGACTGACTAGCACTCGTGAAAGCCAGATTCGTGAAGAGCAAGCCGGATTTCGTCGAAGTCGGGGCTGCATCGACCACACCTTCACATTGCGTCAAGTGTTGGAGCACCGCCATGTTTATTGGCGACCTACCGTTGTCGTGTTTCTTGACATAAAAGGTGCCTTCGACTCAGTCGATCGATGTGCACTTTGGGACTGTCTGCTGAGGAAAGGTGTGCCTGATAAATATGTAAACATTATCAAAGCGCTGTACGCGCATAGTTCGGGCAGGGTGAGGGTTTATGGTAAACTCTCGCCACCCTTCAGTATCACCAGCGGCGTGAGACAAGGATGCCCGCTGTCACCTTTCCTCTTCAACTTCGCTATTGATGAAGTCATAGAAACAGTGTTCGCTGGACACGACCTAGATGGTGTGGAGCTACTTCTTGATGTGGAGTATGCGGACGATATTGCCCTAATCTGTGACAGCCTCCAAACATGCCAAAGAGCACTGGACTGATTAGCACTGGCTGTCAATCGTTTTGGGCTATGCTTTGCTCCATCGAAATGCAAAATACTTCTCCAAGATTGGCAGGGACCCAACCCTGCGCTAACGCTTGGTCGTGATCTGCTAGAAGTCGTTCAGGAATTCAAGTACCTGGGCAGCTATATTAGCACCTGTGGGATTGAAGATGAGGTTACGAACCGTATAGCAAAAGCTCGAGGTGCTTTTGCCAATCTCCGCCACCTGTGGCGCAGACGCGACATTACTCTCGCCCTGAAAGGCAGAGTTTACAACGCAGCTGTCCGTTCTACTCTCTTATATGGTTGTGAAACCTGGCCCATCAGGTCGACTGACATGAAGAGACTCGTCACATTCGATCATCGCTGCCTTCGCAGCTTAGCTCATGTCTGGTGGGAACACCGCGTGAGCATTGAGCGTGTTCGACGTCGCGTGTTTGGTGCAGGAAGAGCGAGTGAACCGCTCATCACCATTATATCACGCACCAGGCTCCGATGGCTGGGCCACGTGTTGCGCATGCCAGCACACCGACTCCCGCGACGTGCATTGTTTGCGCGTTGTGGGTGCGGTTGGAAGAAGAGGAGGGGAGGCCAAGTGATGACTTGGTCGAGAGAAATGAAAACCCTCACTTCGAAGTTGGCGTCGGTTGGTGCATCCCGACTGCCTGGCTGGGGTCCTAAGGACGGTGAACACGTTTGGTTGGACACACTTGTTGATATGGCTAGGAGCCGGCACCAATGGCGTTTGTGTTGTGATTTCCTTTGTCCATCCCCCTCCTGTTTAGTATCCCCCTCCAATCACGATCTCACCTGTTAGGCATAATATGATTCTCTTTTTACGGCAGCCAGCTGTTAGCTCACCGGAACGATGTCCATCCGTTACTGGGGACTCAGCGGGCGTGCCACTGTTTGCCAGGGTTTTCCTTTTCTTTTCTTTTGTATTGCGGCACAATAGCTGAGGTGTTTTCCACCTCCAGCTAACGTGTAATGATGATGATGATGATTCCAGATGGCTGTAATGTTCCACCAATGTGCAGAGCCTGACCTCTCAGGTTGGTTTTAGTAGAGCGTGAACACAAATGGCAGTTCATGTACCGTTAGCCTGGAGATAAATGTCCTCGCCCGAATTGCTCAACCAGATGGTGACGCAAACGGGTGGTCAGTGCTCAATCGGTTGAGTCCGCGTGTCCTCACCTAGAAATCATGCGGCGGTCATCCATTACGGTCGGTGGGCTCAGGTGGTCAGCGGGGA